ATTTTCTTTATTGATATTCTCATTATCATTAGTATTATCATTATTTTTGACATATTCATCAGCTTTATTATCATTGTCGTTGTTATTGTCAGTATCATTATCATAGATGCCATTATATCTTTACCATTATTTAGATGGTAAAACTTTTTTATCACCATATTATCATTTTCATTTTTGTTGACATAATTTAATCAGAAGTAGTGTCCAACAACTATTTCCTATAGTCACCAGTTTAGTTTTTTTTTTTTATTTTTTTTCTGAAGTATAACATTTCTAGGAAGCAGGACCTAGGTGTTATGTTCTATAGATTTTAAGAAAGGGTGAAGATAGGGTAATGAAATTATATTAGAGTATGAAACCACTATTTATTGGACAGATATATATGTATGCACTGTAATTTGAAACAAATTCAAGCTAAGGCCTATGAGCTATAGTTCTTTGCTCAGAAGTGGGCGTGATCTGTCTGCGCTAAGACAGCTGTCCATGCTTCAAAAAATCTCATCCAGCTTAAGTTGATATGTATATTTAGGTTTAATAGTATTAATAAGTGATATATTTTTACATGACTAATTAATACATTTCAAATCAGTGTAGTTTATCGAGGCATTTGTGCTTTGAATGTTAAATAGAGTTAACGTTTACAACTTATTTACTTGCTTATTTCATTATTCATATTTTTTTCCAGTTGGAGGTATTATGGGGCTTCTGCTTCCGAATACAACGAGAGTGGCGTTGACGTAATTCAAGTTGATGAAAAGTATCTTTTAAAGCTGAAGATTTTTTCTTCTTCTTCTTCTCTTCCTCTTTTTTATGGTTAAATGTACTGTGAGAATTTTTAATTAGAATGTTTTTATTTAGCAGAAGTGCAGATGCACTTGTAGAGTGGGATCTGCTTAAAATGCACATTCCTATGTTTTACTTTTTAATTGCAAGACCGCTCAGGTATTTGATGCAATTTTTTTTTTTTTTTTTTTTTTTTTTTTTTTTTTTTTTTTTTTTTTTTTTTTTTTTTTTTTACACACACACACACACACACACACACACACACACACACACACACACACACACACACACACACACACACACACACACACACACACACACACACACACATACACATACACACACACACACACACTTCACACTTCACACTTTCTTCAGTTACAGATACACTTTACTTGCATTTACATATATGTGAAACAGTCAGAAACACAAGCTACTTTCTACCATAAGTAAAAAGTCCATAAAAATGTCAAAGATATTTTTACTTCGAAAATACCATAACTTTGAAGCTATGGCAAATACCCCATTGTTTTATTTCTTATGTACAGAAAAGCATTGACTTGAAGATACAAGCACTCACATCATAAAAAATATGTGAATAACTAGATAAACAAATTAAAGAATCAAAGTTCATTTAATTAACATGCTCATTTGGATGATGTCTCTTCATGTCATACCGAACCAGACCCAAATGATAGGCGGCAGGTTCCCATGCCATGAGCAGTAAAACCTGTGTAAATTGTGTATGTTAAATAGTTGTTTACTTGTTTGGTTATGAGAGACATACATTTATCTTACATAGAGAGTGGGGTAAATGTGTTTCATGTGCATCTAATTTTTCACTCAAACTGCTGACTCCGATGCCTAGTGTGTGGCTTAGAATGGTCTTGGAAAATACTCTTGTCAGTGGGATAACTGTAATCAGACAATGCCTAACAGCAACTTGTACTTATCTAAACAGTCACATTTTACTCCCCCAGGAAAATTATGTATTGTATATCATAACTTTCACTACTTGGGGTGCTGATTTTATATGTAGATCCACCAAAAATACATGAAAAGTATGAATCAACAGATGGCCATGATGTATCATTTACTTGTAAGCATAGTCTGGAGAGTTTGCATGCTCATTGGGAGATAAAGAATGGTGCACTGCCTTCCTGGAACACCGAGAGGGGAGAGTAGGAAGGGCTGATGCCATAGGACCTAGTACCCTCAATAGCTCATGAGCCTTTATCTTTTTAAAGTCCATCTCAGTAACAACAGAAAAATTCTTTTGGCACAGCTGGACAAACACAAGCATTCATTATAAACACTGTTCATTGTAATAAATATGGTGAAAGGCAGGACTGAGAATGAATGATTTCACAATCCAAGAGATGTATTTGGCTTGTTTTGATTATATAGCATATTAGTCATAAATGCTTATTTGATGAATAATAAGTGATATTACGAATGATGTCACATCTTACATACCCATGGACTGTGGGTAAGATTATGCGATGTCTCAGTCATCGGAACCTTTCTGTTTATAGTAGCAAAATCATGTCAGATTTAGTTATCTGATACAGTGCGTTTGCTGCTGATATAGTTCGTGATTCAAGTTCACCTCAAAGACCACCGTGCGAATTCGGGGGCTGAGTAAGGTGGTGACATAGGATCGATCGATGAGTAGCATGTAGTGGTATATGTACGGAGTAGGATTGACTCTGGTTACACTGTCACATGTCAGATAGTTGATATATTGGTCGGCTACGATTTGGAGCGAGAAGTGGTAAGTATCGGGAAATTGTGTAGTTGAGGATCTGGAGTGATAGTCGACACACTAGGAGTTGAATGCGCAGTGAGTCTAGGTCCGGGGAGCCGATGGAGCTGATAGTAGCAGTAAGGTATGCCAAACAGCGTTAAATGTTCAGTGTGTATTTCAAGGGGATATGAAGACACATTTTTGTAATGTGGCTAAAGATACAACAGCATGATGCTCCAGTTAGGAAGTACAATTGTCATACTGTGGCTGCTGCTCAATACCTAAGCATTAAACAATAGCAATTCAATGCAGGTTTAGGAAGGAACTATTTTTTCAAGTGGTGGGTGACATACACTTAATATTTACATATACACGTGCACTCTTGGGCCTTGTTTCGTTTGTATTATTACAACATTATACTTCTTTGTTTTGACATACACATCGCACCATTAACTATCGATTAGTCAGTAGATATAGACATTATAGACTACAACAGATTCTATTAAAAAATAAAGGAAAAAAAGACGCATGATGAGATATACTATGACAGAGGAAAGGAACACTTTGTGAAGTTTGAGAATTGTACTAAAGGTTATTGTAAGTATGTTAGCACGCGATCGACGTAACTGGATTGGTTTAAAGTCCATATATATTTTTGTTTTTTTTTTTTTTTTTTTTTTTTCTTACGACATTTAAGGTTGTAATGAGTATCGAGTTATATTGGCCTGTCGTTAACTAAATTACAGGCTAGCTGGATTAAAGGTGGGTTAGATGTGTATTAAAAATGCCATCTGGTGCTTGACAGAAGAAATGCGAGTAATAATTTGGTTTACTAAAATAAAGTACGAGTACTAACTATTCTTTACGCAAAGAGATCTAGCAATATAATACTATGAGAAAGATGAATTTGTTCAAGTAGGTAGCTTAGACAAAATGGAAATTAGATTGGTAATGCAAGTGGGCATGATGGTTATAGAGTTTATGTAAGATCGTATAATGGTAGTGGTGGTATGATTAAGTTCATAGTTATTTTAGGTATGTATATGTAGGTAGTTTATTGATATGGTGTTGCAGTAGTAAACGTAATTTTTTATTTAACAGTAAAATTATATAATTGCTTCCTCTCGTCTCTCAATCTCTCTCTCTCACAGTATCAGTTCTTCTCGTCGATCTCATCTCTCGTCTCACTGCATCCTCCATCGGTCGGTCTGCATCATCTCTCGATCGACTGCATCACTCTCTCTTCTCTCTTCTCCATCGTACTCGCCGTCTCGATTCTCTCACCTGCAGATCTCTTTCTCCTCTGCACTCTCTCTCCTTTCTCCTCTCCCGTCTCTCTCTCCATATCTTCTGCTTGTTCTCTCTCCGCGTGCGTCTCTCTCTTTCTCTCTCGCTCTCTCTCTTCTTTGTTCACCTTTCTCTGTTTCTCGGCGTCCCTATCGTTCGTGCAGGGCGCTCGGCGCTTCTCTCTTTCTCTCTCGTCGGTCCTTCGTCTCTATTTTCTCATTCGTTGCTCTTCGTCGTACTGTCTGCCAATTCCGGGTCTCTCGTCGTCAGCTTCTTCCTGTGCTTAGGATCTCGGGCTCTTGGTCTCGGTCTCGATTGGCTCTCTCTTCAGGCCTGTCGCCAGAGCCATCTTTTTACGCTTGTCTCTCTGCTTCACCATCTTTCTCCCGTCCTAGGTCATCTAGGCGCGTAATGTGGTCGTGAGTTCTTCGCTCTCGCTACCGGTCTAGTCCTGGTTCCTGATTTCTCTCTCGTCTCACTTGATCTTTCCTCGTTCTCTCTGGCCTCTCTGTCTCCTTGTCTCTGTCTCGGTCTCTGGTCTTTACTCTCTGCTCTTATTCTCCTTGTCTTTCTCTGTCTATGCCTCTCATTCTGACGTTTTCCTGTTCTGTACTGGCTCTCTCTCTCTCTTCTCTCTCTCGGTCGTCTCTACGCGTTCTCTTCTCTTCTCTTCCCCACTCTTCTTCTTCTCTTTCTCTCTGCTTCTCTTCTCATTCCTGTCTCTCCTTACAGCTTCTCTCCTCTTCCATGTTGCCTTCTCTGCTTCAGTCTCTCTTCGCGACTTGGCGTTCTCCTTCTCCGTCGCGATCGGTCTGCCCTTGCTCTCGTTCTCCGCATGGCCCGGTCTCAGATTTCCGCCTCTTTCGCCTTCTGTTGACTGGTCGCTCTTTCCTCCGGCGTCGTCTCTTAAACTCTTCCTCTCTCCTTTGTCCTCTCTTGCTCTCTCTCTCCTGCGTCCTCTCTGTACGCTCTGGCCCTCTCCTCGTCCGTCTCCTCTGCCTCTCCTCTCCGTCTCCGTCGTCCTTCTGCCTCTCTCTGCTCCTCTGCCTCTACGCTCTCCTCGAGTCCTCTGGCATCTCCTGCTCTCTCCCTTTCCTCTCCTCTCCTCCGCTCCGTCCCTTTTTCTCTTCTTTTGCGTATACTTGCGGCGCTCTCCTCTTTCTCCTCTTCTCTGCTTCTGCCCGCTCCCGCTGCCCGCGTCTTTTGCGTCTGTCTCCTCTCGCATCTACTCTTTTCGTCCTCTCCTTCTCTCCGCTCTTCTCCTCTCCTCTCCTCTCCTTCTTTTCTCCTCTCCTCTCGCTCTCCTCTGTCGCTGCTTTCTCCTCTCCTCTCCTCTCTCTTTTCTGCCTTCCTCTCGCTCTCTCTCTCGTTTTTCTCCGTCTTCCTCTCCTCTTCCTCTTTTCTCCCTCTCCTCTCCTCCTCTCTTGTTCTCTCCTCTCCTCTCCTGTCTCTCATTGTTCACTATGACAATCCCCCTTAGGTAAGAACAGTATTGTTTTTTTAGTGTTTTTCAGTGACCACACTTTATACAGTTTTGTCATATAAAGCAAAAAATAAAAAAACAGCTTTACTTTTCATGTATTGAATTCTTTGCTCCAAAGTTCTGAGTCTTTTTTATCTCATGTTCACTTTTTAATATGCAAGAAATATTGACTTGCTACAAGTAGCATTTTTGCTTTTAAAGAAAAATACAGAAAGAATATATTTTGTGTTTCATCTCAGAAAGGTAATATATTGGTTAGATTAAAAATGAAAAACAGTCACTTAAAAGAATAGGTTAAGTTATGGATACTGTTACGTTCACATACATTTTCTGTAATTCATAGAAGGTCTCTTAAGATGGGTAGACTTACCTTAATAGAACAAGAACTGCAAGTAATATGGTATTACATTTATATTACAAGAATTTTAACTTTTAACAATCATATTACATTATAATCATTAACACATTAACAACACTATTCCATCACACACACTGTGTATTATTTATTGAGATTGGGATTGGGAGGATGGGTAAGAATTCCAGATAATGCATATTCCTGTCATGACAATGGAGAATGTTTTCACTTTTCTGCATTGAACGTTGCAGAATTTTATTGTTCTATAGGTGCTAGTTCCTGAACTTAGTCTAAACCAATATTTTACATTTTTCACTAAAATTCTTGAAAAACAAGCATTTCTTTGTTCAGAATCAAAGACAAAAGGAAAGAACATTGTTTCCACACTTCCGATTCTTACCTCACACAGTGGCAGTTGTGCTCCTATAATTTCCCAATACCTTTGGGTTAAAATTAAAGTTTCTGCTCCAAAATTACTCATTTCAGTCAGTCACTGATGGAGCTGAGAGTATACCTTTTACCCACCTTTACTTGACAAGCTGCTCATTGGTGACAAAAAAAGACAACCATGACAATACCATACTGTCCTAAAGTTTATAATGAAACCTTGTAAATAAAATTTTGAGGGGAAATATGTTGTCAGAATGGTCACCACATAGAAACAAAACAGGCTGTTATTCAAGACAGTAAGGCACTTTTCTGGAAGAATAGTGCTTTATAAGGGTTCAGTTTGAGAGATATTGATTAGCAGTTAAAGTGTTAGAAGCAGTATAATGTAGGTGATTCAGATTCCTTGGTTAATCCAATTGGATGTTAGGTTGCAGTAAGAGCATTCTTTCCACCTATCACACAAGTGCGTTCTACACCAGCCACATAGCAGCCAACTCACCACTGCAGTGTTTCAAAAGGATTATATTATAACCTTATTTATAAAATTTGGATTACCTGCTTAAGAATTATGCTACACGAGCCCATACCCAGCTTTAAGGTCTTTGAGATCCTAACCTCAGTCATCTTTTTAAGATTAAAAATCAGTGGGCATCTTCATAACTGTTAAAAAACTGTGTAATAGCAACAGGTTTCTTTATATGTATGCAAATCTAACATCTCATCCCTTCCAGATACTTCTGAATCCTAAACACCAATTACCCACCCCAGGTATTTTTTTTTTAGAACCCAACAACACATCGGGTAGCACACATCAGATGTTTCACAGTTATGACCAGACAGTGCTGTTGAATTTAAAAAGAAATACAAATGGGGTAGCTAATAAACCAATTACACTAATTTGATGTTAATATTCATCATTTAAACATTATCTTCAAATAATTGTTTATAGTATGAATGGTTAATTATCACTTATTACAAAACTGCAAAATAAGATTGATAAGTAACCCAGTGCTTAGTCAACAAGAAGTCAATTAGTGGGCTGACCTCACTTCACCAGATGACCCCATTCCTTAATACATATATTGTGGGAAAAGGTGAGCGACCATTTGAATTAACTTAACAATATACATTTTCGTAACTGACATATTTTGTGTTTAACCCATTCACATCTGGATAATGCCTTATCAAAATGTGGCAGAATATCTCTCACACCAGAACAACACCTTTTCATGTGCACTCAAGCCTACTCTAAGTTTTGATTGTTTGAGCATAACTGCCTTCACTGAGAAATAACCCCTCAAATGCAGGCTTACAGCCACTGTTTACCCTCATTACCTGAATGAATAATTTATGCCTCAGCTAAGAGCATAAAAAAATGGGGTACTTTTATGTTTCTTGGGTGTCTGATTTTTCTCTTCAAGCAGTTGACCCTGACAGTCAATACAGTATGGCACTGGGGGCACCCATCATCACTGGGTTAAACAGATGAAAAAATGTTTGTCAAGGGCAAACTCCAGTTACTAAATTTCTCTATAATATAGGCTAAAAATGGCAGTTTTTTCAAACAAAATATTGGTGTTATCTCACATATTGGCAAGGATAATAAAAATCACCTTATGTTTCATATCATGTATTGGTAACTCAATAATTCAGCTTACAAAGTAAATATTCGCAAAGCAAAGTCACCGCACTTGTGGAACAACTTCCAGCAAGACGGAAAAGTAAACCTAACTTTCTAACTACAAAAAAAAACAATAATAATAAAAAAAGGAAAAAGAAAAAGAAAAAAAAAAGCCTGCATTGAAATTTACCAACACAATTAAGAAGCCATTTTTCAAGTCACTATTAAAAACCTCAACGATATGTATATATATATATAAACGTATAAGCAGCATCGGGTAAAATCACTTCGTTTGAGAAGTGCAAGTAAGATCAAGCAGTAAAAAATGTATAAGCAAAATTATAACTACTTGCAATTTATCCTACTTGTCACATAAAAAGAGACTGATCAGATAAAAATAAAATATGGCAGACTTTTAAATAAAATAACGTACCTGTAACTGATATTGGCACCCAAGAGGGAAAATGAGTTTCAATGACGGTAATGTACTGTATTGCATCATCAAAAGAACCTGTGGAACTCATGGAGGAAACACCCATTTGTGGATCAAATTGATCTCCTATTTAAACTTTTCTTTTTCTTTGAAATCAAGTCCTGATAATTTTTGCCATATTGAGAAATCAAAAGCGAGAATGGGTAGAAAAAGAAGAATGGCAAGGGAAGGTGGTATAGCAGGCTAGAAGAAAGAAGGGATGGAGAGAGATAGAAAGAAAGAAAGAGGAAGAAAGTTCACTCATGGCTTGCAAATAAGATGCTGAACCTTACTTTTTTCTGCACTTTTCTTCTACTTTACCATTAACAAGATCATTTTTCGGGATATGTCTATGTAACTAGATATCTCAGCTTGAAGTATATAATTTTACATTTTCAGTGAAACAGTAAATTCACCAATCTAACATATTGGTAATGCTAGAAAGGGGGCCAATCTTGGAAACCATTTTTAGCAATACCTTTTAATTTTCATTTCTTGTTTATTTCTAGTTGCCACAAATGAAGATAACTCTTAACAAAGTTAATCATTTCTGAAATAAGAACCTACAGGTTACAAACCCAAGATAAACACCCCTACAGACAAATAAATAACAACACATGATAATCTTTACAATATGATTGTCACCATCTCGGCACAGTTTTGATATTTAACAACCATTTGAAAAAACATCTTGCATCAAATAAGGTTGTTAACATGTGCTTGAATTAGGCCTATACTCTAACCACTTATGATCCTTGGCCTGATAAGTGGTCGAACACAGCAACAAGGTATGTCTTAATCATACTTTTGTGACAACACACTAATATTGGCTCTTTTTACAACTGACATTGGCTTGTTACTGAAAATTGTGCAAATATTACATTATTATTATTTTTTTTTTTGTTCTTTCGTTTCTTTTTATTCAACCAAACACTGCCTGAAGTTTTGGTATCACAATACAGGCAAACTGGATGGTAATGAGACCACTTCAGCTGTTCCAAATAAATACAATAAATTCCTTTAGTCTTTTAGTTATTATTTGTATATTCTCATATAAACTGGCTATTAGACATTCCAGTGACCTTCTTCATGAATAATGATGCTGATACAGAAGTACACAAAATAGGAACCATGACAGTTAGCATTATTTAATAGCTGATTGTTCTTCTGTTCACTAATGTGTTACTGATTTCTTTTTAACGTTTGACCTGTCAATGTGAGGCTTCTCTGTCCTTCCAATGATTCATTTAAAATCAAATTTACACATTTATGCTCCTATGAATTTTAAATTGTAACAGCAAATGCACCTGATGATTTTCAGTGCTACTAAAAACTAAATAAATTTTTTCCTCTTCAGACAGCTTGTTTGTTTAGTTATGCAATAACAATACATGCTTTGCTTTCATAATTACTATAAATAATATAAACCTCTAAATATCTAAAATCTAAATGGGATAACATAGTAGAATTCTCCATTACATACTAACATGCAAGAGCCAAACAGAAGCCAATTATGGAAGACAATAATCATATAACAGTCAAACCTTCCAAGTATTTCATTTCTTAATCCAAGAACTGATACAGTTCCCATGCCTTTCACATTGTGGTTTGAATTCTACCATTACACCATTATCAAATATTCATATCTAAAACAATATATTGACCAGCTGAAACAAAAGTATACAGTACGTTGCTCTCATCTCAATAAATTAATGTTTTTTTTCCCATTATCACAATGAAGTGAATGGTACTACAATAACTACAAATCTAAATCACACATATAAACCCAATATATAAACTGCATCTAACCAGTCTACATCATGCCCAAACTACAGGAGCTTTTCTTCAACAATCTACTGTGCTGCTAACTCGGTTCAGACGTACTGAAACGCAAGTGTTGGAGCACTTAACAAAAATGCTAACTAATCTTCTGGGTTGTACATCTCAATAAATCTGCATAAGTATACATTCATATATCTTCTTCTTGATCTGTTAAGAAAAGTGGATCATTACTTCATTTATATAAAAATTTAGGCTAAAAATTTAAAAAAAATTCAGAGTGGGTTCAGGCATATCCGCAACAACAACAAAAATAATGGAATAGAAATAAACAAATAAGTTCAACAAAACAAAAGAATTAATAAACACATGAAAATAAAAGAACAAATGCAGATTTGTTGGACTGACACATGGCAGAAGGACACAAGCTCATTGAAATAGATTTATTAAGATTTCAGCACCTAGATTAAAGGCCGCATTTCAAAGGAAATTAGCACCTATACATGTCCCACAAATTGCTATTTTTTCTATTTTTCTATATATGCCTTTTTAATGATCCTTAAAAATAGTCACAACCATTAAGCTATATTTCACTGAAGTTTTCAACCTGTTTTGAATATGGACATGTAGTATGACCCTCTGTTATATCTTTAAAAATTCCCATCTCTTTATCCTGGCTGCATTATATAATGGCCTTAATATTAATTGCCCATATGTTTTTCTTGACAAAAACAAGTAATAATAAATAGCTGACACCAAATATCTAAAAAAAAAAAAAAATGTCCTTATATCCTTCATTTTTTTTGCAATATAATGATCTCACTGCTTTATAAATCAGGCACTAACAGTAATTCCATGAAGTAAAAATATTTGGTGCATTAACACTCTTGACCACAAAATAACATGACTACCATTTGCATACTCCTTGGACTTTCCATTATGTATGGATATAAGACTGGTTACCAAATCCCCAAATATCATATAGTCACCTTGATATACCTTTCTAAAACCCTTGCCAGACACCAATGACGGCCCCCTCAGGAGACACCATACTCCCGTACAGCCTAGTCTAATAAATAATCATGCAATTCTGCCTATAAATATATGACTTGTAACACCTAAAGAAGATGCCCATCACCCTAATCCTCAAGTACAACCATGCTGTTCCCAGCTTTCCTAAAATCACACATTTTATCACCAGCTGATGTCATTGCAATTAACTTTAGAATCATTTGTTTTAAAAAGTAACAACAAGATAATTAACATGAACAAAGCAAATGTATAAAGCAATTAACTTTCATAATTAAGCAATTTATTGCAAATTTGTACCATGGTCAGAATGACCACCCTGTTTATAATGAAAAAAGGGTGAAAACAGAGAGAAGTGAAAAAAGGAAGAAATGATAACAAAAGACAATTTGCAATTTGTACCATGACCTATATCAGCCATATCTACCCTGAGTAACTCTAAGCAGCCTTCTGGGAACATCGTTCTCACATACAAAGACTTCATTTCACCCCACAATTAGGAGGATGTGAAATCCAAACCTTCTTTTTAAAAATAAAATATTTATGAATTAAATGAAATAGTTCATGATATACATTATTGCTGAACCTTCCCAAACCATCCAAATCCCTAAGTCACATAAATACAATTAGACCCCAAAAGAAAATAGGTTCAATGGTGTAGGTGACACCCTGAGCTGAAACAAGATGACAATGCCAAACCAAGAATAAACTCACTCTTGCCAAACCAACACTCCTATTAGCAATTTCTTTGGCTCCTGCTTCTAAACTTTATAAAAGGAGAATGTCCATAAAGTAGTTACCTTAGCTTTTCCATAGGCCAGCTCATGTCGTGTACATCTACACCACTGCACACCATCTGTGTAAACTCATGCATGCATACTATTACATTCTATTACCATGCAAATGATATCAAGGAATGGTGTATACTAACATACATTTTTTCTCTTCCTCTCTATTGCCAATGCATACATTTCTTTCATTCAAATGACTTATTGTGTTAAAGAACTCAAATGCATTATAAAAAGTCTGATATATTTTCCTCTAAGAATGTTTCTGAAAGACTCTTTTATAAAATTTTCAACATCTTTTAAATCCTATCATGTATAAATATTTAACTCATTGCTTCTAAACTTTTAAAATTGAATAAATAATAGCTAGTCCAATGTTGTTTTTTGAAAAACCTTCCACCAACATTTTAAGCAGGAGTCAGCTGTCTTCTAAGATGTATCACATGGTTCAGACTCCTGCTGCTGATCAGCCTCAGATTTCTGCTGAGAGGCCTGCTGCTGCTCCTGCTGAGTGTTGGACTGTTCCATGGGTTGGTCTGCTTGCTCCATTGGCTGTTGGGCCTCTTCCATAGGTACAGGGGGCTGTGAGAGAGCCCCGGCCCCATGCAGTGCCCCACGCATCATCAGAGAACCTAACATGAGGGTCACTGTGCCAGACACTTCCCCATCTTCATCCAGTGTCCATAATGTGTCTCGCAGCTCTGGGTACACCTGGATGAACTTCAGCAGTACTGCAATGAATAAAAAAACATGAGGAAAATATGAACTTTAACTCATTACAATTCAGTGATAAAAAGTTTCATTTTATAGTCCTACGTACATAAGCAGTATTATTCATTGATTTTTCCTACAGAAAATCATTCCTAAAATATTACAACAATGTTCAAGTAAGATATACGCACAAAACTTTTTTCAAACAAAGACACAAATATCAGTGACCTGTAACTTGAGAGAGAGAGAGAGAGAGAGAGAGAGAGAGAGAGAGAGAGAGAGAGAGAGAGGAGGAGAGGAGGAGGAGAGGAGGAGGAGGGAGGAGGAGGAGGAGGAGGAGGAGGAGGAGAGGAGGAGGAGGAGGAGGAGAGGAGGGAGGAGGAGGAGAGAGAAGGAGAAGAAGGAGAAGAAGGAGAAGAAGGAGAAGAAGGAGAAGAAGGAGAAGAAGGAGAAGAAGGAGAAGAAGGAGAAGAAGGAGAAGAAGGAGAAGAAGGAGAAGAAGGAGAAGAAGGAGAAGGCAGAAGGAGCAGAAGGAGCAGAAGGAGCAGAAGGAGCAGAAGGAGCAGAAGGAGCAGAAGGAGCAGAAGGAGCAGAAGGAGCAGAAGGAGCAGAAGGAGCAGAAGGAGCAGAAGGAGAAGAAGGAGAAGAAGGAGAAGAAGAGAAGAAGGAGGAAGGGAAGAGAGGAGAAGGAGAAGGAGAAGGAGAGAAGGAGAAGAGGAGGAGGAGGAGGAGGAGGAGAAGAAGAAGAGAAGAAGAGAGAGAAGAGAGAGAGAGAAGAGAAGAGAAGAGAAGAGAAGAGAAGAGAAGAGAAGAGAAGAGAAGAGAGAGAGAAAGAGAAGAGAAGAGAAGAGAGAAGAGAAGAGAAGAGAAGAAGAGAGAGAAGAGAAGAGAAGAGAAGAGAAGAGAGAAGAGAAGAGAAGAGAAGAGAAGAGAAGAAAAAGAAAAAAAAAAAAAAGAAAAAAAAAAAAAAAAAAAAAAATGTACACAGTTAATCAACATACTATTCCTCCCCTATCCCTAACCTTTGCACATGCTGAGGGACACTGGATGAGAGAGTCCCAGGTGCTCGCCAGGTGGGATCTCCGATGTCAAGGTGCGCAGAAGTTCCAGCGAGTGACCCTGCCTCCGAGCACATTCACGGACGTACATGGTGTCCAGGGTGTCGCATGCGTACACGTCCTCTCCACCCCATATGCTTGTGCCTGTTTGGGAGATTCTCAGCTGAAACGACTATTCCTTTTCAATCGCCCAAAAACTCTTTGAGTTATAAAAAAAAAAAAAAACAAAAATTTTTTTTTTTTTAATTGACCAATGCTTGAAAATTGAAAAACAAGCATTCTGATCTTTTTTTCTACAAATTCATCCTAAATGTGTTGATGTAGATACTTTTTTCAATTTCAAGTTTGTTTATTTTAGGGGAATATTTTATCTAGAAGTGTTTTTTATTTTTATTATTATTATTTTTTTTTACATATATGTCACTTTTACAAGAAGCAGAGGAATTTTTTTTTTTTAAAAACTGTCCAAAACATTCCCCTGTCTTTTATCTATCTACATAATGAGCCATAATATGTTTATTTCAGACTATAAATGCGTGTTCTAGAGCTTTCACATGTAAATAAGTATACTCCCGAAATAATGGTAGTTGACATTTCTCGTATCTTTTCATGATTACTTTGGTATTAAGAACAAAAGGTAGAAGAATAATCTTCATACAACTTTATCCCCTATCATCTATCTACATTCCAAAGTCTTTCATAAAGTCCCAGCACTTAACAATGTCAAGACAAGCTACTTATCTTAAAGCGTTTTAAGCAGGGAAAGTTCTTGCCTGAAAACTCAAGCGTTTTTCTTGCTAACTCAAGCCTTTCGCTTGCTTTCTCAAGCGACCTCCGTAGATGGCTTGACTTGCGCTTGCTAAGTCAAGCGGTGTACCGTCACCATGGCAACGGCGTCGGTCGCGTACCGTACTGGTCACGATCCTTCGAATGCGGCCGTTGGCCAGGAACTCCGCTTAATATCTTATCAGATAAATATTTTTTTCACGGTATCTGATTCTGTAATTTTCTTAAAATCATATTCAAAGAAATTGAAATTAACTGAAAACGAACGGAGATAATGGAGATTATGGGAATAAAAAGTTTTACTTATGAATAATATATGATTATAAAACGAATAATTTTCCTCTTATTGTTAAACTTCTCGTCTTTCTAAATCGAGAATATATCTGCTATTTTATGAAATAAAGAATATTTCAAGTGAAAAAGTCTGAGAAATTCTAGTAACATTCTTCTGTTGATATCATATTCGATGATTTATTATATTTAACCTCATAAAATCGGATATATGGGAATGGGTAGGCCTATATTTTGATTCAGGGATATTAATTTGTTTTGATAACGCGTCAGAATGAAAGGGCTGTCAATCGGAAGTGTGTCATTGTTTTAGAGGCACTTTATATGAATATAGGAGAAAATACAGCGCTTTGTTAAGATGTTTGGGTAAATCTATTTACTTCTCTGTCATCTTGATGCGGCGCTAGCTTGTCAGTTGTT